TCTCCAATGATTCGGTAGTTTTACATGTAAGTCTCATTTCACATTTACTGCTGTGTTGAAGTATCTTGTTTTATGACTCGTTGACGCTAATGCTACATGATTCCCCAGTTACGGCTTATTTAGGCCACAGCGAGTAAATTTTATGGATGACATCCTCCGCAGACTCCAAATTAAATGCGATAGGGCGAAAAAAAACAGGGCGGGCCAAAAAAAACAAGATTTTCAAATTTTGACATCATAATCCTTGTTAAACAAGAAATGATACCCATATTGTGCTATGCTTAATACCAACTATTACAACATCCATTTGTCACAGAAAAATTCGTCTTTACAACAAGACAATTAGCACTGAGTAATTGGACATCTGGTAATCGCGCCATGTACAGCATATGTTAACTGTGACATGTTATTTGTGATGTTTTTAATATTGAGATTTTACCTATGTGATGATTCGTTTTAAAATGTAAATGTTTTTAATGTGACTTGTGTACTAAGGACGTAATTCGGGTGCACATGTGTTGCCCGCGAGTTCCTTAATGAATAAAGATTGATTGATTGAAAAATAAAAGGTTTCAAGCCCCCACTACAAATACAGATTGTTTTCTTCAACACTTCATTATTTTCTTAACACTCCTCCTCACTTCCTTTAAGTGTCTACCTACGCTTTTTTCACGGTGATACCTTCTCTGATATTTTGACTGTGGCCAAAGAATACTGTCTGGCTAATGGATACTGCCTCGTCAATTTGATACTGTCTTTTGCAGCCACTAAAGCATCTGCTTCGAGATTAATTTTTCAAATTTGACTCCCTCGCGCAAAATATGAAACTCGGCATTCCTTCATGCTCCTCCCGCTATTTGCATGTTGGCTCAGCCTTGAAAAACACTGCCCTTGAGATGTGAGCTGTTGCTGTGACGTCAGTAGCGGGGACGGTATCGTGTTTGAAGCGCGCAGGCTGCTAGCAGGGCTCGTGGCCAACATGGTCAATGTCATGTCACAATGTTTGTACGGGCTGCGGTGAAGGGCGGCAGTTGGGCTCAGGTCTACTGAGGTTCGAAAAATCTGTATCTGTATCTGTATAGCCGGTATAACCGCCTTTCGGCGTAACACACCAGCTTCTGTATCTGTATAGCCGGTATAACCGCCTTTCGGCGTAACACACCAGCTTCGCAGGCACGCGGCGCGGCGGCAGCTGGCTATATTACATCGATCAACTTGTTACACCTAGCCCTTGAACTTCTAGCTCTTTAAAGCTATCTATTGACAACTTCTACTGTACTTGGTGACAGTGGGTTCCACTCTGCGATAGTTCTAGGAAAGAATGAATTCTTGAACACCTCAATCCTTGGTTGATAACTCTGGTACTTGAAGGCATGGCTATTTCTTGTTCTCTTCTGGGCTGGTATTAGGTACTTAGTAGTTGGGACGTCCACCAGTTTATTAGTCATTTTGTACATCATGCATAGTCTGGACATCTTTCTTCTGTCTTCCAGTGAGGCCCACTGTAGGTTTCTTTTCATTTCCGTGACACTAGCGCCTCTTTCATAGTTGTTCATAGAATGTTAAGAGTCTTGAAGAAAAAGTTTCAAATAGGACTAATTTTATGTTTTTATGTTATTTTACTTAAAAGAGGGGTAAATCTAGTCTTGATACTCGATACTTTATTAGCCTAGAAGCAGATCTTCCGGTGGCTGCAAAGATAGTTGGCCTGAGGTCTGGGGTTGAAAGAATGTTAGAGTCTTGAAGAAAAAAGTTTCAAAGAGGAGTATTGTTATGTTTCTATGTTATTTTACTTTAAAACGGGGGTAAAACTAGTCTCCAAGCAGATATTACGGTGGTACACAGTATCAAAAAAATTAAATTGGCCAGACAGTGTTCATTTGCCAGACAATATCCATTGGCCACCCATAAGGTTGAGGACTCTCTCTAGATGGCCAGTTCTAACCGTAGCGCTTTTTCCGCCAGACATCTGCTTGGAAATTAGGATAAAACAAAGGACAAATACATTTAAAAAGGTGTGCATCAGGAAAGATAATAGTAGTGGGAGAACGGTCTTGGTGCATTTTTTTGTTAGTGTTTGCCAGACGACGGCTCAAGCGATATTTCTTATAATTAGTTAAATTTGCCCCTCTATTTCCCACCTTATGTCCTTTCATACCTATTAGGCCACACCGACTTAATTTTATGGATGACATCCGCGCGTGCATTGATTTTCGCTTGTTGTACAAAAAAAAGATCACGTCCTCCGAGGCTTTGGCCCGGCTCTAGGCCTGGGTAGTCCATGGTAGTTAGCGACAATACGGAGCCGGTGGTAACTCTGGAGGATGGCACCCAGGCTACCGATTCATAGATTCCGCAAAAAAACGCGTACACAAAAAGGCCAGCATGTGTCGGCTTGTCATATACGTCGCTATATATATGTACTGCCGCAAATTCACAATACCAGCTTTGTATTCCTGTGGTTTAGTGGCATTTTTATTTTTGCCCGATTTTTTTTATTCGCCCGCGCGCACTAGTTTGGGGGGCTTCAGGGGATGTTATCCATAAAATTAAGTCGGTGTGACCTTATATCATATAGATTGTCTATGATTTAGCGTAAGTTATCGTGGAAAATTTGAAGACGTTTCCCCGCCTAACGTGTGTTCCGTCAGAGTCCATTGCGTGTAACGTTAAACAGTGTTAGGACGTTTGGAGGTCAAAAGGTCACCGGAAATGCAAACTTAAACAGGTGTAGCGTTCAAGGCATGTGACCTGAGCGGGACCTACAGGAAATTAAAAGGGAAAGTGACTTTCACTTGGTTTACAGCATACCTCAAATACCCGTCTAGACATTAGTATGGTGCTAATAGTTTTGTTGTGTATCTATTTTCAATTAACTCCCTCAAAATGCTTAGACGTAACGGCACAATTAGATATGCTTCTTCTTAACCCAAATAAAGTTTATAACTCTATAGAAAACACAGTAAAATGAAGCTATTATCTTTTACCATTAAAGGAATACAGTGCAGTTTTAGGGCTTGGAAACCAGATTCAAAGCCAATATTCTAGCCATTTATCTACATATTGAGTGAAACAACACTATCCCAGTGTACATTGACCCGCATGGAGCAAAAATTCTCAACATTATGACGGAAAATGGTTACGGTAAGGGCCCTTGGCTGATTTTTAGGGTACCACCCAGAAAATAAAGGACTCATCTTGGGGCTTGTTTCTGTAGTTTTAAAAGCCCAAACTATGAAATACTGACTCAAATGTGCCAATGTGAAGCAGTACGTGTCATCACAAAGATTGCCTTACGCAGAATATTTCCAGTTTTGCTGCCCTGAAATCGCATCGGATGCCTTTTCATCACATTTATCAAATTTCCCATTAAGCGTACTTTTCCGTCCTCTTACTAACATTAGCATCATTTCTGTTGCCTACTCTAATTGCGAGGACAGACAGATCCTGACCGTGTTAAGGTCACAGCAAGTAATTTTTATGGATGACATCAGCGCGCGCATTAATTTTCGTCTGATTTTGGAGAGAAAAAAAAAAATTTTGTTGCCTTCTGACAGTGGTCACCATGCCGAAAATGGGCAAAGATGTCTGTTGCCATGCCGGAAGGTGGATGGCAGATAACTATGAAGAGAGGAGGCAAGAAAAGGCTCTGTTTCTTACTTTGATGCAGTGATATGTGATGTTGGCTATGTATATGTGATGTTCCCACTGAATCAAAACCATTTGTACAATGATAGAGTCAAAATTTTAAAATGTAAGTACCTTGTTTTTTTTGGCCCGCCTTGTTTTCTTCGCCCGCTCGCATTAGATTTGGAGTCTGTGGAAGATGTCATCCATAAAATTTTCTTGCTGTGGCCTAACTTCTGTGATGATTTACCAAACACAGGTGACTCGTGCGTAACCGTCAACCTTTCTTCAAATTACAAAACTTGGTCTATTTAAGGACTATTTGTTTTTACCCTTGCTTGGAAGGCCCTTTAAAGCTCTGTTAGCCAAACAGTTAGCAATGGTCCAAGAAGTCCCTAAGGAATGTGTTTTCTTAGCTTCAGTGATCTTGCGAAGGAGTTTGTATTGTTCCTTTTAATTTAGCGTCAACTATCTTGTCCTTCTGGTTACTTACAGATATCTCAGATAAGTAGACATAATGTACGTGCAATAATCTGGTATCTGTTATCGTTAAACCATTATCAATCTACCGTAATTGTTTAGATTTGCACTAAATGAGCTATTCGACACCTATAGATACAGAGGCACACCACCTTCCTACTGACATATAACGAAACATCCCCTTGGCGACTGCCAACTCCTGCCATAATGCTTTTGATTGATCCCTTCTTTATTTCAGGCTCATATACATATTACAACAATATAAATAGATGTGCGTGATAAATAGACATGACATTTACATCGACCGAATTAAAAAAAATAATTTTCTATAATATTAATTTTTTCTGATATCTAATTAAGTTTTTTTCCTGTGCATTTTTGACAGCGTCCCATTTTTGATAACCCTGTGCGAACAGCTTAGTCTCGATCAGGCTTCGGGAGGCGGGTGGAAAGAGCAAAAATTAGCCAAATAGAGATAGATAACATGCCGGGCGGGGGAGTTGAGTACATTTTGCCGCGCCCACACCAAGTCACCCGGCATGTTATCTCTCTCTATTTGGCCAATTTCTACTCTTTCCAGCCGCCTCCCGAAGCCTGGAAGAGGCTACGAACAGCTGACACACAGTAGGACAGCTGCCCCTCTCATGACTGCCCCTTTAAAAATAGCCTGGAAACAAGAATCTATTCCTGTCCTCCCCATGCCCTCATCGCTATATCACGCCGCAAACCCAGACTACACAATCTCAAACATATCACTCAAATATATGAATCACTTTACTGATATACAATACGTAGAAATATGACGCATTTAACACTCGTGGTTGTGAGTTAGTAGCGTTGTGTAGCTCAGAATGGTTAGTGACACGGTATGAAGAGGCGTGTACTTTACTTACCCAATTTAGAAAGCCTATCCCTCGCCGAACGATGTCGTCCTGTCGTCTGCAAGTCCCGCGCACACACTGCTGACGGAGGGTCCCTCAAACCTTGAAAACTGCACAAGGCCGCCGCGTCAAAATCCTTGCACGCTCCTCAAGAATGACGCACAGTTCTTGTCAGAAGTCTTGAAGCGTGGACGTTCCAAGAAATAAAAAAAAAACTCCAACACCCTCCGTCCACAAATAGCTCTTGAAAACCAGTCGCGAAAACGAACGCAGCGAACAAGAATAAAGCTGAATTTGGGGCGTGTCGTTCCGATGCGCTCTTCCCTTCTCCCCCGGTCACCACTACTGCATAGACAGCGCAAACATATCACGTTACAGGGTTATATATACCTCCTGACCAAAAAAGTCCGTAATCTTAAGCTTTGCCTAGTAGAACCTTCGAGCGGGAGGTTACTTTGGTATCTGTTCAAAAACCTTGGCTTGTGACGTCAGCTCAGTATTCCGTCTTAATTTGGCGAGGAGTTAGCGACGTTGATGTATGTATGGTCGAGGTTGTGGCAAAGGGGGGAGGGGGGCGCAACATCAACCGCGTTTCTTCACGCCTTTTCTGTCAACGCGCGAATGTTCTGTGTCTGTGCTGTAAGTGGTGTCCTGTAAACACAAGGCGGAACTACATTCCTCAGTCCTAGAACGGGCGGCAACATGTTTTTGTACGCAGACGATGATTGTTGCTGAAAAAATGCAAAATTCTCGATGGGAAACATTAATTATTGTTTTGGTCGTTTATATTCTATGTGACCAATAAAAATGGGTCGATTTCATTTATAAAACGTGATATCATCGTTCTAAGTTGTGACATAATAAATATTCCCAGCAAATTCATACTCTAATAGCACTGTTAACGTTTGTAAACTTTGTATACACTATGAAGAATTGATGATCAACATCGGTATACAACATGAAGGTTTTATCCCACATGTTGTGTGCCCCTCCCCCCGTGAAAGTGGTTCGGTCCGGCCGAACTTGGGCCGACTGCCAGTATGGAGGAATGTGCGGTATGACCAGCGTTTTCCAACCCCCGAGCCATCCGGCCTGCCTACAGACCTACGTGCCCGTCTGTGTATACGGCGCGTCTGAGAGCTAAGGCCACAGCAAGTAAATTCTATGGATGACATCCTCCGCAGACTCCAAATCTAATGCGAGCGGGCGAAAAAAAAACAAGGCGGCCCGAAAAAAACAGGGTTCCTACATTTTAAAATTTTGACTCAATCATTGTACAAATGGTTTTGATTCAGTGGGAACATCACATATACACAGCCAGCATCACAAATCACTGCACCAAAAACATTAACTCAGAGTCTTTTCTTGTCTCCTCTCTTCATAGTTATCTGCCATCCACACGGCAACAGAAATATTTGCCCATTTTCGTCAATGTTGACCGCTGTCAGAAGGCAACAAAATTTCTTGTTTTTTTTCCAAAATCAGGCGAAAATTAATGCGCGCGTTGATGTCATCCATAAAAATTACTTGCCGTGGCCTAAAGGCATCCAATACGATTTCAGAGCAGCAAATCTGAAAATATTCTGAAAAAGGCAATCTTGATGATATCGACACATACTGATTCACATCAGCACATTTTAATCAGTAAGTATATTATTCTTTGGGTAATTAAAAATGCAGAAACAAGCCTTAAGATTACTCTTTTATTTTATGGGTGGTACCCTAAAAATCAGCCAAGGGCTATTTTCCAGTAACAATTTTTCCGTCAGAATTTGGGGATTTTTGCTCCATGAGGGTCAATAAACGCTGGGATAGTGTTGTTTTAACTCAGTATGACACAAAGTCAGTAAAATAAGGGACTAGAATATTGACTTTGAAAAATCGGGTTTCCAAGCCCTAAAAACCTGCATTGGGTGCCTTTAAAATTCTACAAACAGATTCTGTAAAGTGTCGAGAATTGTGATTTCATGTATCATTTTTCATCTCATAAACAAAGAGTGATGAAAAGATATTAACGCAGCTTTGGTTGTTTTCCCAACCCCTTCCGCCATGGTGCCCCTATCCCCCTCTAGATGTACATTGACAAGTGCATCGATACGTCCGACATGTAATACTGTAAAAACCTCACGGGTACTTTTTTCTACCCTGTGCCCCTTTACTCAGCTGTTACTATTATGTTGTTGGATAATTGCATGTCCTCCGCAATGGTAACAGAAATAGCCTAGCAAGTAATGAAACTCGAAGGGAGTTGTAACGATGGGTAAGATCGCTAGATGGCGCTTTTCAACAAGATGCACATCATTGGAAAGAAAAGAGGCACAAGAAAAAGTACTAGTCTTTTGGCAACGTGATGAAACACTTATTGACAAAAACTTTATTTCCTCGGTGTTATAACGTACCACAACATTAGGGTTACACTTCGTGACACCAAACTATATACAAAGACTGTTCAGATGATTACTCGATGAGAGTTGAGGGCTGCCAAGGTTCCATAATGGTACAATTCAGAACATCAAAACGTTGAATCATTTTAGCGTGTCTGGGATAGTTTTAAATTTGAATATTAATTTTTCATTGGCCCACCCGAAAGGTACATTTTATCAAACAACATCAGCACCCATAGTTACTGGATTTGATTGGTGGATTTCAATGATGTCAAAATAACCGTCTTAACGGTCCTTTACTTTCAAAAAGATTTGGTCGACGAAATCTTTTCAGTCACAAATAGATATTTCCTTCACTTAGAATTCTTAGAACCTTGTTGTCCCAACAACTCTACATCGAGAAAACAGCTATTTCAAATTTCGTCAAATGAATGACGTTGTTTTTAATCCACAAACATTTCGTTTCACCAACATCTTATGCCCAATAAATTTGTTTTTTTCGAGGCTTCGTACACAAATGGTGACGACATCGAAACGCGAAGAAATGCTCAGCTTCAAAGAGGTGTCTTTCTGTCTGAAATATGACAGATAATTAATAAATGCCTTAAATTGGCCAAAGTGTAATACTATTACACCAGTGACTACAGCGTAAGAAATTACTGCGAAAGCATCTTGTTGAAAAACAGCTTGGAAAGCCCAACCATTAACAGATGATAAAATGTGGATGTTTTGTTTCAATTGAGCATTCCTTCGTTCCACAAAGACACAGTCTATCCCCACAAAATACTCATCACAGATATGATGACTTGGTCCAACATTCACATGTACTTTTCTCTAGCTAAACGTTATTTTTCATACTATAACCTCTCCGTAGTCACGTTAAAGTCTAGTCAGCGTATACAGTTAAGCATACATACCATATCCTCAAGTCACATTCCAGCTACTTGTATACTTGTAAACGACCGCACACTAATATCGTTTCGTCCTGGACTTTTTCAGGACTGATGTTGTGTCTACAAAATACATTTTTTTATGTAACACGTAAGCTAAATCATGAAAAAAATCGTGTATTGTTTTTGCACCATTTTGACTACATGGATTTTACGACAATTCAATTTTTCGACGTCTTCAATTTTGAGGTCCATTCTGGCATCGTCACCTTTTTTACCGGTTCCTGTGCACAGAAATATTGTCGCTATTGCTACCTAAACATTCAAATACTGTGACATAGCATTCCTCAAATATAGTCAATTTGAGGCTGTCGTTATGCTTTACATTCTATGGCAAAGAAAATAACTTGTTATGTTATGCTATACTTGTACATTTTTACTAAAGTCAGTTAACAGCTAACAGTATGACAAATAAACGTTACTCACACACTATAAACATCGAATTTTTTTGTTGAGAATACTATGATTCACCAATACTTTTATACACTATTTGAAACCAACACATTTATTGTAAGTATCCCGGACACACCCCTACATGACAACTATAATCCCCTCTACTGAAATATCCTGCCTACCAAAAACTACCTGTGAATTTCGACATTGAAAATATTTTCAGAAATCTACAAGTACAAAAGATCATCCTACAAAACCAGACATATCTTACAAGAACGCTGTTAACTCTTGTAAATAATGTATGTACATTAGAGATGTTTACTTACGGACCCTGAATACCGTACTAGGCATTCAAGATGGCGGCCTGCTAGTGACAGATACTCAGGGTCAAAGGTCACTGTGAAGTGTGGGTTGATGGGAGATTTTATGTAAACCGATATTATAACAAGACCTCGTTTCGTTCGACTTCAGATGTAGAATTGAAACTACATTCTAGCAGTGTCTTGCATTGTTAGGTTCAAAATGATGATCCAGTCTGTTTTGTTCAAAGTAGAAAATATTGTTTCACCCAATGTTTGGGTGCCCAATGTCTGGAATTCTCCTGTTGAATTCATGTGTGCAATATCTACATAGCTTGTACTTAGGACTAACATCACCAGTGTACGACAAACGTTACCAACCTAGATATCCGTATCTGAAGTATTTTGGACCGCAACCATTAGGCACTGTGACATTTGTTGGTAAGGTAGGATCTTACTTTGGTGACGCCTCCGATCCTCAATAATATAGATACGATTCATTTCGTGTTATTGGAGCAAGAAAATCTCATCTGCATTGGTGAAAAACGTTATATCATAATCAAGTTAACATTGTTCCAAGACTACCCTGGTCGGGGGAAGGTACAGGCTTCCGAGAACCCCTGCCCCCTGGAGTCACGTGTTCATAATGTCACGTGTTCAAAGTAGTGGGTCAGTAACTTTGAGGAAGGTCGAAGAGACGCTCCTAGATACCTTCCCTTGAGTTTGAAACAACGTTAGCTAGATCATGAATGTGTTATGATGCCTATTATTAATATGTAAGAACAAAAAGTGTCAAAATGACGCGGTTGTATCTTGTCTTCCAGAGGGAAAACATTGCTAACTAAGAGGAAGATCTTAGAACCCTTAAGCAATTGGCAGGCTGCTTCCCAGCTGGCTGCTATACATCCACCTCAGATCACACGGTGCTCTCGGCCTGGGAGTGGGCAGGGCTGGCTGGCGGAGGGTTCGCCTTCACATGGCCGTTTCCGGACTTGTCTCCACCAGGAGCGCCATCTATCGCCACCATATGGAGCTGCAGAAAAGGAAAATATGCTCTCACATTGAGAAAGCTCAGTCTCGCGAACTTAGCTTTTGGGGCGAAATCGTACGACATTTTGCGAGAATTACGTGGCTGGGCGTGACAGTATATCTCCTAATTATTTTATTTCTTCAGCACCGTCAGCCGACAGGTTCTGCTTTTGCTCCATACACGTTTTACAATAAGCTCTCATGTGATGAAGCCATCTAAGCTTCCCCTATTCCCGTTGTGTCTAGAACCGTATCTTTTTAGTCCTATATCTGTATAGGTTAGGGTTAGGATCAGCCACCGTTACCGATAGTCAACGCGTATCCAAGAACATAGATTTGCCCTATGCACGGTTATGGATACGCGTGGACTACCCACAACTGTGCCTGAGCATATAGCATCCCAGTCTCAGTCCCCAGAAGGTTCTAAGCCACATTACCCACCTGTTGTTCCCTGTCGGCGGCCTCCAGGTCTGCCCGGGACAGATGGTACACGATACCGGCACCCACGGCGTCGCCGAGCACGTTGATCGATGTTCGGAACCGATCCCTACAACATACAAACACTCGGTTAAAGAGACTGTCGCATGTAGCAAAATATGACCTTCCGAACACCCCCCAACCATGGTTAGAAGTAGGTCGAGAACCGCCGCCTATGGTTAGCTACTACAATATAGTTTTCGGCGAAGTTGGCCGAATTCGGTTGTCCCAGTCGAAGATAGTCAGTGATCGGGGCGTGTTAAATTTGACTCACATTCAACTCAAATTCGATTCGGTTCGTATAGAAAGGTAGAAATGGCCTAAATCTGGTCAAACTGCTCCCGAACTTGAGCCAGGCTTGGTTGGTTGTTGGTCGGGGGAAACTTCTGAATGTGTGACAGGGGCTTTAGGGAGCTAGTCAAATAACTGCTTCTTTGTAGCTGATTCTTTGTGACAACAGGAAATTGTATTTTACAGGGCGCGTGTGAATAAACCATATATATATATATATATATATATATATATATATATATATATATATATATATATATAGTAGTAGAGAGAGAGAGAGAGAGAGA